TCTTAAATTTTTGAGACAGGATCTCAATAAGTGGCCCAGGCTACTTGAACTTGTAATCCTTTTGCCTCAGCCTCCCCAGATGCTGAGTGCAGGCTGGAACCACCATACCACATTTTATACTTGTATGAGTTGTGTTCACTTTTTGAAAATGGAAATATCCAAGTGGACTCACTCCGTGGACTCCATAAAACTGCACTGTCCACAGAGTACACTGCATGGGGTAGACACCCAAGGCCCGTTTCCTTGGTCCCCTGGTATAAATTACAAATGGCAGCAAAGCTTCTCCTTCTTGACCCACTCACTATTGCTTGCAATTTTCCTGACTCCATGATCTTGCTATTTTGTTTCTGATTTTTGGCCAAATATGTTAGAAATTTCGTTTTACACATGACTACTAGTTGTCTCCCTGGTGACGGCAGTAGTTGTGGGTCTATTCCCTAGGTGGCCTGTCAGCTAGAAGGGAAATGTAGCCTTGGTGAGCTGGAGATGACAAGGCATTTGTGTGCTGCTTTTGTTGTTTGTAACTTGTCTGTTTTTCCATTTGTGTGCTTAAATCAGGAAAATATTTTTTGCCCAATGGAAAAGCAGCCGGCCTTTTGAGACCTAGAGGAGTGAAATTTTGTGTTTTACTGTTTACTTCTCACCTGTAGTTGAAGCTATAGAATTTATGCTGTTCTTAATCTAAGAAAAAAAATCACTGTGTGTGTGTATGTGTGTGTGTGTGTGTGTGTGTGTGTGTGTGTAGGAAATGAGTATCTTCCTACTTCCTCGGGATAATAATAAATTAAAATAGAGGCTCTGCTATTCTAACTGGTTTATAGGGATTAACAAGCATTTAAATAAATACAACATTCTCCAAATTCCAAGAAAATACAGTAAAATTCTAATACTTTAAGTAGTCTCCCCATTTAACTGCTGACTCACAAGCATTTTCTTTCATTAGAAAACAAATTATACACAAAGTGAGTCCTTATACAAATCAGACAGATTTGATAATTTGCTTAAAAAAAAGCTACACATCTTTTTTCAGTGTATAATTAATACAAGTGTAATTTCATTTTTTATACAGGATTTAGATTTGTTTTATCATGAAGAGGCTAGTTTATCTGAATTCCTTAAATGTCTTAGTTTATGTAAAATATAAACTAAGATTATTTCCATAATATTAAGAAAAATAGTGGGGCATGGTGGCACACACTTTTTTTTTTTTGGTACCGGGGATTGAACTCAGGTCCTTGAGCTTGTGCAGCAGGCAGCGAAACGACTGAGCTAAATCCCCGTCCCAGCACACACTTTTTTTTTTTTTTTTTGGTACCAGGGATCGAACTTGGGTCCTTGCGCTTTCAAGGCAGGCAGCGGAACCACTGAGCTAAATCCCTGGCCCCTCAGCACACACTTTTAATTTCAGCACCAGGGAAGTTCAGGGGAGGACAGGTCAAGTTCAAAGCCTACACAGTGAGTTCAAGGCCAGTCTAAAGTACACAGCGAAATCCTGTCTCAAGAAAAAAAAAAGAGAGAGAGAAAGTGATTAAGAAATATATAAAACTGGTGCTCACCTAAATTTAATCATAATTGTAAAAAACCGTTTTTTTAAATTTATTATTAGAAAAATTAATTGACAAATAAAAAGTATGTATATTTATGATATATATAGCATGATGTTATAAAATATGCATACATTGTCAGATGGCTAAATTGAGCCAATTAACACTTATTTTACCTCACAGCTTTATTATTTTTGTGACAAACTTTTTTACATAAATAGCAATTATATTTTGTGATATATCCTCTTGAAAAAACAATTGCTAACATCCCTGCTTATTTAAAATTTAAAAATCCATTTTTGAATGATTTAAGATACTTTGTTTACTAAAAATAATCTATTATCACTTTGACTATTATAGACAGATAGCAAACAATCACTGATCTGAGGCATCCACAGTCCTACATTATTCAAGTAAAGAAATCTCTTCCTATTAAGATTTAATTTTTACCTTTCCAAGATCAGATAAACCTTAAATTCAAGAAAAAAAAATTTCCCAAGACATCTAACACCTCAATTATCTTTAAGCTTTTCTTAAAAATGTCTTTAACTTTCCCCCCCAAAAAAACCCCACTAGAAATAAATAGGTTTGCTTGTTATGATTTTAGTTCTAAACATCCCAGTATGATCAAGAATGATCAATGCATGATATATGCATATATGGAAATGCCCCAACAAAATCCATTAATGTGTTAATTTTTAAAAGGAGAATTGCATAGGGACATTTCTGAAGTGAAAAGAGCACATTCAGCCTTCCCTATGATAACTCTGTAGAGGTAAAATATTATAAATAATCAAAATTGTGGGCATACAGTACTTTATAGAAAGCCCCTAAGTGGACGTCAGTGTCCTCATCATAATATGCTCTCACCCTCAAGGAAAACAGGATTAAATAAAAACAATCTGATAAAGGACCTTGGCTTTCCTTCATGTTGACACTGTCAAGTAAACTACAAATTAACCATAGCCACTTACTCTTACATTCACCAAGTGCTCTCTTAAGTTCCTCTGTAGCTTGCTTAAAGACTCTGCTTAAGCTATGGAATTAGACATGACTTCAACAAAGAAAATTCTGGAACCTCATGGATAGGACTTTAACAGGTACCCTTAACTCCTGATATTTCAGAGAACAGACTTAAGGATAGAAGCTTCTAAGATGACCCAGGCGAGACAAGAATGAGACAGTGCTGGAAGCTAAACCAATGTTTTAAGACTCTTTTTAGTTCAGTAATAAATGTCTTCATGCAATCAAGTTAATGGTCCAAGATGCATAGAAATAACAATGACATAGAACTGTCTGCACTGATAATAGAAATCAAATTTCTAATATGGATATATTTTGGAATATTATTTGTTATTTTGAATGTTTTATTCTTTGATGTGGATACCCTGTAATGTGCATCTTGACCTATCTCTAACCTTCAAATTAGTTAATTCTGATTTCGAAACTAAATTAAATATTCATTTTAATAGTACCTGGTTCTCACTGATCCCTCAAAACTCAGGAAGAAATTGTTTTTGAATCACTTTGCTTCTTAAAGGCAGTATCATTATTCGCATATCGTATTTGTCAGTAAGAATCTGTCCTCCCCTTTTCAAATATGCAATGCAACCCAGGCCAAATCTAGAGTGTCTTATTTAAAAACAAGTCTCATTTCAGCAGGTATGCTAAGCACACTACTAAGGGAAAGAGATTATAACTTAATATTTGAAATAATATCCACAAAATTCTCCCAAGCAGTTGAAACTGTTATGACTTACAGGGTCCTGATGTAGGCACTAAGAAAGATCACTTCCTAGATTGCCAAAACCTTATCAGATTTAGAGAATCTAGAAGACAGAGAAATTCAACATTTTTGATGCTAAACACAAAACCCACGGCAGATGAATTTCTGGAGTTTGATTTCCTATCCTTAATATAGATGAATAAATGAGATAAGGAAGATTTCTGGAGTGATGGAATCCATTAAAAATGCTCTCCCAGGTTCCATAATAAATTATCAAGCAGAGTTCATTGTCTGGTTTTATTAATAATAGTGCCTCAACATAGTATAGCACTATGTTTGCTGTCCATTTACAGGACGATGCTTTTATATCCTAATTAAAACGTCTGAATTTATGTCAACGAATCAGCCCAAGGCACCTTTTTGTGACTATAAATAATCCCTGGAGATTACTTATGATAACAAAGAGGACTCACACTGTTGCACTGTGTAACTGACCCACCCAAAGAATATCTAATTCTCTGGTGGTATACACACTTGTTTTCTTTACCATTATTAGTTAGGATATGTAGACGCTTCACAAAGATAGACATTAACTTACCAAGAATTGTGACTGATATAAATGATTCTTGTTGTAAAATGTCAAATTTTGTCCAGTGTAAATGTAAAAGGTTTCTGTCCACTGTGATCCAAAGGTTACAATTTCATTGTGTTGGGAGGCACTCATTTTGAACATGATTCAAAAATCTAAGTGCTACATACTTTCTTTAACTAAACTACTTCTGATAATCCTATACTTTTGTAAACCAACTTTACCATCCTGAGCTTCTCTCATTATGGAAATCATTAATCATTAATGAACTAAAATAAACTCTGGCATGTATTCATTCCAAAAGGAAAACTTATGCTTAATAGAGAATAGGAAAACACAGTGGCTCACTCTCATTCATCAGTGGAACTCTCAAGGGATGTTTCCTATTATCGTATTTTCAGTATTATCCATTTCAAGCATCAATTCATTTGAAATGAAAAAGAGGTTAATATGTTTTGTGAGTAGGTGTGGTTTGGAGGTCCACAGTAAGTCCCTGATATACAAATGAGTTCTGTTGCGGGACAATATTCCTAAGTCAGATTTGTTCCTAAGTCCAACAAAGTGAGTCTTATACACCTTTGACACAAATACAGCATGCATGCCAAGAAATAAGACAGAGAGTTTGAGGTGTGTGTGAACAGTGTGAAGAAAAGTTGAGCATCACCAAAGCACCACTGAAGGCTTGCTTCAAATTTCTAGACAACGGCTGTACAGACAAATTCACTGCCTAATTCCCAATGAGTCATGACTTCACTGACTGCTGTTACAACCATACACCTGCGAATGTAATGATACCATAATGCAAATCAGTATTTCCTCATCTTCTTAAAAGTTTGTTAGATGTCAAGAAATTCAGTAAAACCCCCCAACTACTTTTATTAGCTTTTTCAAGAATTTATAGTTGTGAGAGCTCTGCAGAGTGACTGAATGAACATCAGGTTCCTGGAGGTCTTCAAAATGCTCACACATGCCCACCAATACTGACCAGGGAAGAGGCAGGATAGCAGAAGAGATCCTAGGAAAGGAGAGCAGGGGCTGGTGCATAAGGAAATTGCACCTCTGCATTCACCCTGGGCGTCTGTCTCCAAGGCTGCCTGGCAAATGCCATTCAACAAAACAGTGAGGTCAAGAAAAAGCTTACCAGTCGCTCCATCTCCTGCTCCCTGAGTCTTTCCTCCCTCTGCCGCCGGTGATAATCCATCAGGTCATCCCGTCCTGAAATGGAGCTAATGCTGCTTTTCCGTTCCCGAAGGACAGGCTGGGGGGTTCCTGAGGCTTGTCTGAGGCTGTCCAAATCACCATCATCAAACTCCACAGAGCCACATGAGAAGTTCCTCCTGGCCGCAAACACTCTGTCTGATTCTCCAGCAGAAAATGAGTGACTTGTCCCGGAATAGGAAGCCCTATCAAAGTCATCAGAGGCACAGGAGGAGGTGGAGGCCAGAAGCATCTTCCGAGCCACTCGAGGACTGGCAGGGACGCTGAGTGTGGAACTCACATAAGGACTACCCTCCGATACAGAGGTTTTATAGGGTAAAGCCCCTGAGCTTAAAGAGGAAAAATTAAGGTAATTGTCATTGTCTATGATACTATGAGGTAGATCCTTTTCCCCCAGCCTGGTTCTTCTGGAGTTGCCCAGAGAGTTTCTTGGAGGCAAGGTGAGAGGCATCAGCTGGTTCTCTGTGGCTTTGTACAGCCTCGGAAGCGATCGGCTATAGGCTCCCATGTGACTCAGGCTGCCAGCTGAATACTTCCTAGTTCTTAAACTGATGCTTTCAGATGCTGGGTCCTTGTGTCTGGTTACCTTGGGTTGAGGAGTCAGGTTGTCCTGGATGCTCATTTTCCTGGCTTGCTTTGGGCTTGAAGGCATGCTTGCCGCCCCCGATCTGCTGATGGGAGAATGGCCAGAGTCACTAAGGGAACTTCCATTCCACATGGTCAGGAGCGAACCAGATGCCTTTCTTCCTTCTAATCCTCCAAGAAAATAGACACTGTCATGCGATTTATTTCTAGAGTTGTATTTGGAATAAGGAAGCTTCTCTGAGAGTCTCAAGGACCTTTCACTGTCCCGACCGCTATAATGATCAAAATCTGCTCTCCCGAGTGAGTATCCACCAAGAGAGTGTGTAGTGTTGAGTGAAGGAGTGGGGGGTTTCGTGGAAATATTTTTCTCAGTTCCCTCACAGGAGAACTGCTTGCTTGCATGGATTTTGGCTAAAGAGGGGCTGCTTCTGACACTGGTACCCAAAGGAGAAGGGCTTCTCTTAGCAGGCACAGGCTGTGAGAGGGTTAAGTAGGAGCCAGAATAGTCTCCATTGGCTTTAAATTTCAGACTGGAAAAGTATTTCTTTGAGTTTAGGCTCTCCATCATGTCTGGGGGATGGTTCTCCAGGGAATTCACCACAAAGCCTTCCTCTAAGCTACCATTTTGTAAGTCCAGCTGTTTCTGCATGTGACTACACTCTGCCATAATCTTGCAGGGACCTGTAAAGAAAAAAAAAAAAAAAGAAAAGTTTTATTTAGCAGAAAAGATTTAAAAAGAACAACCATTTGTGGTCTACTTCCGAACAAACAGCCTTGTGATCTGACCTAATGCCAACTGACAAACACAAACTGTTTTTCTAATAAAACTGGACTGGAAACTGAGGAATAAGGACACTGGCCAGGGATAATTTTTGTACAAAAGAAAAATAACTCAAGATGACAGCAATGATATGTTAGGGAAAGAAATCCTTAACAAGTAATACTGTAAGATTACACTGGTGCATTTTTAAAAAGTAAAAAGAAAAAAGTGATTTTCCTTCACTGTTCTCATCCTTAGAGAACCAGGTGGTGCTTCCTGAGATTCTCCCTAGCAAATGTCTACAAGACTTCCTCTAGTTTTCTCTGCTAGAATCACTAACTGCTCAGAAATAGTCCTAAGGAAACAAATTCACATTTTGGCAGAGAAAGACACTGAACAAGCATATGAGGGTCAGAAAATTCTTTAAAAGGGAGATGTGGGAGTTACATTCTTAACAAGAAGATTTAAAACTCTTGTGCTCATCAGAAAGAGGCAGGTGATAATTGAGGTCTGTTGTTTATTAACAATTTGTCCCTCCAAATCTTTACCACATGGTTAGAAAACCATATTTAAAAACTTGAAAGTGCTTTATTCTTCAAATTCCCTAGTACTTCAATGTATTATACTCATTACTGATACTGTACCAAATCCATTTTTCTAACTGAAATCCAAAAGCTCTGCTTGGATGGATACAAGCATGATACATATATATATATAT